TTTTTTTTTTTTTTTTTTTGAGATGGAGTCTTGCTCTGTTGCCAGGCTGGAGTGCTATGGTGCGATCTCAGCTCACTGCAAACTCCACCTCCTGGGTTCAAGTGATTCTCCTGCCTCAGCCTCCTGAGCAGTTGAGATTACAGGCATGTGCCACCTTGCCTGGCTAATTTTTTTTTTTGTATTTTTAATAGGGACGTGGTTTCACTATGTTGCCCAGGCTGGTCTTGTACTCCTGACCTCGTGATCCTCTCGTCTCAGCCTCCCAAAGTGCTGGGATTACAGGCATGAGCCATTATTGTTTTATATTGCCTAAAGAACTAAAGAAAAAACAAGTCTGACCAATTACAGCCAAATGTTAAGACATTTGCCATAGAACTTCCCTTATGCAAAAGAAAACATAAAATCCTTAAATTTTTAGAACTTTCAGATCACTAAATTTTTGCTAGGGTATCCCTATCAGTAATCTTTAATGACGTGTCTCTTTTTTTCCAGGTTGACAGGTTGAGAGAGTCAATAGTGTACTTGGTGATGGCTGTTGCCAGCATAACTTGTATAACTGTATTAAGAAAAAATGTACAGGTGCTGGAGAACAAATGGAGGTCTCTGACAAACCAGCCAGGGGAGCAAAATTATAAGCTCTTGCTTTTGTTCAATTTGTACCACTTTTCTAGATATCCATCAGAACTTCCTCAAGGTCCTCTCAGAATTAGTATCACCTTTCTTTAAATGAGCCAGTGAATATGCCAGTGTTATGCATAGAGATTGGCAAATAGTAGACACTTTACAAATGTTTGTATCTGACACAATTGCATTGTGTACACTTTTAATAAGCCTCTTAAGACATTCTGCTTGATGTTAGCATTGGTAGAAGATTTGTCTCTGCTAGGAAATTGTCAGCTTGTTCAGGGTGGGACTTGATTTTGTTTTCACACAACTCCTCCATTCTACATTGTTATGTCTCGGCCGGGCACGGTGACTCAAGCCTGTAATCCCAGCACTTTGGGAGGCCGAGACGGGCGGATCACGAGGTCAGGAGATCGAGACCATCCTGGTTAATACGGTGAAACCCCGTCTCTACTAAAAAGTACAAAAAACTAGCCGGGCGAGGTGGCGGGCGCCTGTAGTCCCAGCTACTCGGGAGGCTGAGGCAGGAGAATGGCGTGAACCCGGGAGGCGGAGCTTGCAGTGAGCTGAGATCTGGCCACTGCACTCCAGCCTGGGCGACAGAGCGAGACTCCGTCTCAAAAAATAAAAACAAAAAAACAAAAAAAACCCCCAAAAAACCCCAAAATACATTGTTATGTCTCATGTTCAGGCTGTCTTGCATGGGCTTATTTATGGCTTTTTCCTCCTCCACTAGATTATGAGTTCTAGGAGGACTAAACTGTGTCGTCTTTATTTTTATGTTCCTCACAGTACCTAACACTGCTTGGTACATAATGAGTCTTTAAAAACTATGTGTTGAATTTGAGCGTTATCTCCTCTGGGTAATTTTATTTTCAAAACATTCACTTCTGAATAGGACTTGTTTTATCACAGCAACTTATTTTGCAGATTAAGGAAACTGTGAATTAAACTAGAAGACATGAAAAACTTTAAAGGGCTGCTTCAAACTTCATTAGAGATTTCACAGGAACAGTACCGTATAGTAGGATGCATACTTGTCACTTGATACCTAGTCATTTTCAGATTGTATTTTCTCTGAGAGGGTCACACACCTACCTCCTTGGGCTTTTTTTTTTTTTTAAATGCATATTTATTGTGATAAGAACACTTAATGTGAGATCTACCATATTGACACATTTTAAAACATACAATACATATTGTTAACTATCAGTACAATGTTAGACAGCAGATTGCTGGAGTTTATTCATCTTGTTTATCTGAAACCTTATGCCTATTGATTAGTAATTCACCATTTCCTCCTTCCTTGGGGGCTTTTAAAAAATGAGAAAAAGAAGCCTTAAAGACTATATATATTTAAAAACCACAGATTCTTTATATGCAAATTTTGGCAGTGATCAACTTAAATTTACATACAAGAGAAAAGAACCCCTAGGAAGCTAAGCCAGGCATTTCAATCGGTCAAATGACTGAGCTTTTTGAATTCTCAAAGAGAACTGTTTATTCATTGATTGCATATAGCTGATATCTGAGGCAGAAAACTTATCAGAAAAAGGTGAAAGGAGAGTGAAGGAAGTTTTAAAAATTACATGTTTCCTATTCTTTAACCGTCATTCCTAAAAAGTACCAATGTTGAGTTCTAGAAAGATTTAAAAAATTTCCCACTTGTTACATAAAATAGGCTCACATGTATAAAGTATGCTTTTTAAAGACATTTGGAATATGTGCTTTCAACAGATGAGGTCTACAGCACTCACCTTCCAGAGTAGCTCAGTCAAGGCTGTCTTAATTTCACTTCAGAATTGAGCATTGATTTGTTCGATTATTCTGTGAAGATAATAATTTGACATCATTGGAATGATCAAAATTAGCCCTTGAAGTTGGAAAGATTGGGACTGAAATGGGAGAGTTCCCTGACCCCCCTCACAGGATGTCAGGTGTGTCTCACCTGTTTGGCTGCTACGTGCTCAAACCTCTTACAGGAAGAGGAGCACTTAGATGGGCATGTGCAGGAGCAAGGGCAAGTGACTGTGGGCTCCAGCCCCACAGTAACCTCTAAGGGTGGGTGTCTGTGACTCTGGAAACCCCACTACATGTGTTACAGTGCTTTTTTCACTCTGCCTTCTGCAGATGGCTTAAGTGTTAACCAGCTCAGTGCCTTCTTGGTACCTAGGTCCCGGTCCAGTGTCCAGGAAGAATCAGGTCACACAGACAAATTAAAGGATGATAAATGCAGGGGATTTTATTGCCAGATGGAGGTGACTTTCAGTGGGAAGGACGGGGACCTGGAAAGGGGATGGAGTGGAAAGATGATCTTCCCCTGGAGTTCGGTCATCCGGTGGCCCATCTCCTTTCTGACCATCCCCAGCCAAACTCCTCTTGATGTTCAGACACTCCCTCTCCTCTCTCCTGTGCCACACCACTGTTCTGCTCCTCCGCTTTTCTGCTCATAGAGCCTGGGGTTTGGGGTTTATATGGGTACAGGATATGGGAGTGTGGTGGGCCAAAAGGCAACATTTGGGTGTGAATACAGGAATGCCTATTCCCATTTAGGGGTGTGGGTTTCCAGGCTTGAGGGTGGGGCCTTTGCTGGGGAACCACCCTCTTCTATTCAGTATTTCCCTGTCTCCTGTCTGTATCAAAACCTTGTTGTTCATTGTCTCTGTAATCCAAAAAATCAGCTAGTTTTCCAAAGGTCAGAAAAGGCCCAGCCTAGAACACCCTTAGCAACTGATTCATTTAATCTCATATTGGAGATTCTTGGTGTTTGAATGTAACCAAAATGCAAGTTAGTTGCTCACTGCATGTAAAGTCCAATTAACAAGACAGAGGTCTGATACAAAAAATGTGAATTTATTCTGAAGTTAACTTGGAGGAAGGGTACAAAGTGTCCTGCCTTTGAATGTGGCACTTCATCTTAGAAGCAGAAAGTGGATATTTTTATAAGGTAAGAGGGGAAATTGAGCCAGAGCAGGGGACCCCTCTACTAACTTGGTGCCTTATCTACAGAACAGTTGAGATGATACCTTCCATGGAAGAAATAATTTGTAAAAGTGGCCAAGTAGGCATGCTTTTGACATGCCCTCCTGGTGAATGAAAGCCCTGAGGCAAGAGTGGAAGTTTGAAGGCAACCCCCTGGAGGGGAGACTTCTGTGGTGGGTATGCTTTGGTCTGCAAAGTGACCGTCGACTCTCAAGGAGAGACCTGTCTTGGAGCAAAGAGTTAGAAGTTGCATTGCAGGACATGTCTGGTGAGGGAGATGAGAAAGAATACATTTGCATTTTTAAAGGGCTAAGTAGGAAGTGGGAAACCAGAAAACGAGAATGGAAGAGAAAGCAAATAATAGTAATAATAATTAAACCACCTCTTAGAAAAGTGAGGGACACTCAGTTACATGAATAGGTTAAAATGTATGCAGTTTTCTCAAGAGCCATGAATAAAATTACAATTAGAAGCCAACAGTTAGCAGATATATTCCCTGAAGAATTCATCTACGGAAAATCTAGTTTTGAGATCTTATGGATAAAGACCAACTCTGTCTTTGTATAGGTACTTCTGTAATATCAAAGTTAGACCTCATTCTATTCTGCTGATTGATCTGTCAAACATAATTTCTCATCTAAATTGAGACACTTGAGAGTGAAGGGTGCTCTGTAAATAAACACACAAAAATCACAATCATATTCCAGTGCTGTCTCAAGGCATATATGACCATCACACCAATAAAAATTCTCATATTATACCCAGTTCTATTACCATCTGTGCAAACCCAAAGTGTCTGAGACAGGTATCCGTCAATTTACGAAGTTTATTTTGCCAAGGTTAATGATGTGTCTGTGACACAGCCTCAGGGGATTCTGATGACATGTGCCCAAGGTGGTGGTGGCACAGCTTGGTTTCATACATTGTAGGGAGACAAGAGACATCAATCAATATGTGAAGATGTACTTTGGTTTGGTCCAAAAAGGCAGGACAACTTGAAGCTGGGTTGGAGGGAGTACTTCCAGGTCATGCGTAGATAAGAAACAAAGGTTGTATTCTTTTGGGCTTTGATTAGCCTTTCACTAAATACGCAATCTACATGTGAGAAAAGGGTAAAGTAATAGTCACTTATGACTTAGTCTGGCTCAGTGAATCTGCATTTTTACATAAACAACAGGTCAGAGGAAGCAATGATACACATTTGTCTCAGGTGAGCAGAGGGATGACTTTGAGTTCTGTCCTTTGTCCCTCACCTGTGAAGATAAGCTATCAATTTACATTACCAGGGTGAAGTTCAGCAGAACTGTTTTAGGGTAAAGATCTTGAAGTCCACAAGGAATTTCCTTATGGGTTAATTGTGAGGAGGTATGTAGTTTTTTTTTTTTTTTTAAGAGTTCATAACATGCCTTTATTTTGTAATTTATAGACAACTTCTGACTTGCCCTTTGAAAGTTAATTATAATTGACGACTGCTTTTCTTAGATGCTTCTGAAGCCCAAGACAGGGGCAGAATGTAGTTCTTGATTTAAAAAAACAGAAAGGGAAGGAGGATGACCTTAACTACAAATAATATTCCACTGCAACATTATTGCTGTAAAACTTCCAAGCTGGCTGTTCTTCCAGATGCTCTCTTTTGATGGCTGTAGTGGCTGACAGTTTTATATTTACATGTTCAAAACAATTAATGCTTCCATTTATTCATTTATTCATAGATTCTCTGAGGTTCCCGTAGAACCACACCACCTTCTGTCATGGCACTTTGTAGTCGTTTCATGGAGTCTAAGGCTGCCTCCCATGGGGTTGGTTGGTAGACCATGAAGTTGATTCCCGCCTCTAAGCATCTCTGTGCCAGTACTCGTCCTATACTCTCACAAGCCACCACATTTCTGGTACTATAAAGGTGCTTTTTAATAGCCCATTCACGAGTGGATGCCGAAACCACAACTTTGCCATTTTGATGCTCCACAAGTGCTTCTACATGACGCTGAGTCCTTATAACTCACAACCTGTGCCAGAACTCACGGGAGGGCCACACCGTCCGCCAGCCCCGCTCTTTCCTGGCTACAGATAGAAGCTCCAGGTTCCGGGGGTTCCGATTGGTGAACTCTGGGGCGACAGCTTCATTTTCCACACGGTGCACTTCAGGTTTCGCCGCCGACTTGGAGCTGGTTGAGAGGGCTGCGAACCTGCACCCAGGGTTCCTGCAAACGGAGAACCCCCAGAACCGCGACCGAAGCGCCATCGCTGAGACGATCTCGGAAAAGCCTTGCCTCTTTTTCCTCAGGGACGACTCACTCGCTCGCCTGCCGCAGTCATATGAAGTCAGGGAAAAGCCTTTGGTTGCTGTAGATCCCCAAACTCTCGGTATGTAGCTTTTTAAATCTTCATAGCTATCTTATTTGGAATAAAATGGGAGGCAGGTTCGCTTGATGCGATTCGCAGTTTGACTTTCCCTTTGGCTTAGTGACTTTGGGGCCCTGAGATTTATTATCCTTTCACACCTGCATCCTTCTTTACTTCTTTTCTCTCTTCGTCCCCGCTTTCTTCTTCTTCCTTCTCCTCCTCCTCCTTCTTCTCTTTTTCCTCTCTCTTACTATTTCTCTCCTTTTGCTTCTTTTCTTGTCTAGAGTCTAGACTAATACCATATTGGGAGGTTTTCAAAAAAGAAACTGTCTTTTTTTTATTTGAAGAAACAGTAGAATACTGTGTTTTACTTACTACACATACAACTATGTTATAGGAATAAAGGAAAATATACAATTATTTTAAGTATTTTCCTTTCATTTCCACTTCTATTGCATCCCTGAACTCCTTCTCCCTTTTGACTTGGGTTCACAGTCATTTTTTTTTGTGCCTGTAAGACCCTCAATATGCTGAGTACAGCAGAAGAGAGACTGCAAGAATCTGAGAGGTTCTGATCATCAACATAAGAAATGGCACAAAAGGACTTAGAGATTGGAAGAGTTTGGTCAGACAGGGATAAGGGAAGTAAGAAGAAAGTCAGGAGTTCTGTTAAATTTTGCGAATAGAAAGGTTTAAGAGATGTGGGTAGTTACTTTTGAAAGTGAAACTTTGAGGGAGTTTGGAAAGTTTTACTCTCTGACATGCAAATTAATTCTAATACATCTTTAGGTGAAATGCAATACATGCCAGCAATATTCTCATTGTTTCGTGAAGCTGGACTTCTACATTTTTTTTTTTTTTTGAGTGTGAGAAGTAGCACTAGTTTTACTAGATATACCTACTAAGCACATATCAAATAATAGGCACTCAATTTGGAGGAGTAATGTTGAATAAAGCATATGTAACAGATGATGCTTGTGGAATGAATGAACAATGAATCCATAAATCAATGACCATACTTGAAAAGTTAGAAAGTTTTTCTCCTCTGAACAGTCTGAGGGCAAGTGGCATACATCAGCCCTTTATCCCTAAATATTTTAATATGCATTTTTGTCAGAGTGAAAAATCATATAGTTTTAATTACTCTTTTAATCAATTTGATGGCTTTCTGGAGTGAATGTGGGGAGATTCAGAACTGGGTGGTTGCTATTGTTCTCCTGAGAGTTGTTTATTAATAAAGTGTTTTCTCATACAGATATAACCAGAACAACACCCTGGGCATATGCCTATGTGCCCCTTCCTTACCTCTCAGGAAATCACAATTTGTAAGAGATCAAGCTCTCACGTTCATCATATTCTTTCTAATGTGCTAGTGGTATGAGCAGACCATGAAAATCGTTCACAAAATTATTTTCCTCATGTAACGTTAATAGTAATAGTGGTTCCCTTCAAATCTTAACTCCTTCTAGCAGAAATATACTCTCATTAAGCTATTCTCCACTAGTTAATTATCTCCTGTATCCAGTTCATCACAACTGCCACTCACTCCCATTAGCACCCCCTATTGTGTTCTCATGGGCCTGGGAATTCTGTTCTCTATTCCCCTGTCTTATACATGGGTCACTAGGGTATTGCCTGAGCATTGTTCTCCCTACTTTTCTCATGTATTAACTTTAGTCACATTTTTATAGTTTCTATTTTCCTACTTTCCATCATTGTGTTAATTATTCCTTCACTTTCTTTTATATCTCAGTTCTGATTTTGACTCTTGTTCATTCTCTTTTATTTTTCCTTGCTTATGCTCACTGCAGTTTTCAAGGAAAGTGTTTAATATTAAAACTCTGAGGACACCAATGTATTGTTTACTGGCTCTTCTGAGAAGTTTTTCTAATTCTTAGAGGATTTCATTGGTGGTTCCAGAAAACAGGAGGAGGCCTGGAAGGATTGAAGTTTGTGTGAGTTTCCAAAGATACCTTAAGGGAGAATTTGCAAACTCATTACTGGCAGGTCAAATCTAAGCTGCAAGATTGGCATTTCTTTCTTCCTTTTTCTTTTTAAAAAATTGGTCCACACAGTAACTTAAACAACTTTCAATTAGTTTCCAGCATTTAACATAGAGATTTTGGCTTCTCTTTAAAATATGTGTCTGTAATCCTGCAGGGTAGCAATAAGCTGCAGCTGAGAAGCTCCTGACCTCTTTAGATGGGGTATATAATTCGGAGTTTGCCACAGTCTCCATCAGACCCATTTTAATCGTTTCTATTCCCTTCCTGACCCCTGTAGTTGTTGAATTTTTCACATTTGTATTAAAGTCTTAGGAGCAGCCTGTTTCGAGAGGTGGAGAACAGGGCCCTATCAAGGTGATAATTGTCCTCCAAGGACACAAAGAACTCGGAGTATTTCTGCTGCGCTCCTTTGCCTTGTTCCCTACATTTTGGTGATATTTTGTTGAAAATGACTGACTAACTGAAATATCAAGAATCGTGGTGATACCATAATTTTATAAACCTCTGAAAACTCAGCAGGGTTAGTGTGGAATTTGCAATCCTTTCAGCTCTTGACATTAAGAGTTGTAAGGGAGGAAGTGGTGCTCTGGCTTAGGCACAGTATTCTCGCAAGAGGCCAGGGCCAGACTCAAACATTTGACTTTGTTTTATTCTTTCACTTGGTGACGTTGCCATATTCTTGCTGCTATTGGATTGGCTATTTCTTTCTTTTCTTTTCTTTTGAAACGGAGTCTCGCTCTGTTGCCCAGGCTGGAGTGCAGTGGCTCTATCTCGGCTCAGGGCAACCTCCACCTCCTGAGTTCACGCCATTCTCCTGCCTCAGCCTCCCAAGTATGGATTGGCTATTTCTTAAAAGATAAGTCATTAGGGGTAAGGAAGAAACAAAAAAGTTACTGCAATTGGTCAAAAATAAATAAATAACTTCATATTACAATCTAGATTAAAACTCTTCGTTGGACTCTGGTTGCATTTGAGGAATGTCACAACTCCTTGTTATGTGCCCCCTGCCTCCTCACTTCCCCCATTGTAGCTCCAGGATAATCTATACTACTATATCCCACGCACTTCATGCAGACCTTCAGGCCGCCTTCAGATTTTTGACATCTACGTAAAATGCTTGGAAGCAGCCTGTTTGGGGAGGTTATGTCAAGTTAATAATTTATCCTAGAAGGACGGAGACCCTGGAGCAGGTTTCTCCACCACATCAGTCTCTTCCCTGCCTCAGGGACTGGGATTTGCTGTCTATCTGCTTTCATTTTTAGCTCATCTCTTGAATTTTTCTTCTCAACTTTTAGGTCTTGGTTTAAATGTGTGGTCCTCAAAAAGATATGCGAACTGGAATAAATAAATAAATAAGAAATAAATAAGAATAAATAAATGCAGACTGGCTGGGCATGGTGGCTCACACACCTATAATCCCATTATTTGGGGAGGCTAAGATGGAAGTATTGCTTAAGGTCAGGAGATTGAGACCCACCTGGGAAACATAGTGAAATGCTCCTCTCTACAAAAAATAAAATAATTAACTAAGCATGGTGGCATGTGCCTATAGTCCTAGCTACTCGGGAGAATTGCTTGAACCCAGGAGTTCAAGGGTGTGATGAGGTATGGTCATGCCACTGCAATCCAGCCTGGGTGACAGAGCAAGACCCTACCTCTTAAGAACAACAACAACAACAACAACAAGTGGACCACATATTGAATCCCTTTTGTGCCTTTGATATTTCCGCTTCTAGTAATATAGTTTGTAGAGACAAATGATACTATTGGCATATATTAATTATTTTCACCATACATCTAAATTAAGAGTGCCAAAGTATCAAAGAAGACTATAATTTACTCTAATCAGATATTGATACACTTTTCTTAAAATACGAACTATGAGTGCCATCTACTCCAATTTCTAGTAACCTTCTCACTTGACTCCTTTTGGAAGTGTTAATAAATTTAAAAACCGGAGAGTACACCTCTCATGCTAAAAAAGCCCAATAAACTAGGTAGCGATGGAACATATCTCAAAATAACAAGAGCTATTTATGACAAACCCACAGCCAATATCACACTGAATGGGCAAAAGCTAGAAGCATTCCCTTTGAAAACTGGCATAACACAAGGATGCCCTCTCTCACCACTCCCTTTCAACATAGTATTGGAAGTTCTGGCCAGGACAATCAGGCAAGAGAAAGAAATAAAGTGTATTCAAATAGGAAGAGAGGAAGTCAAATTATCTCTGTTTGCAGATGACATGATTGTATATTTAGAAAATCCCATTGTCTCAGTCCAAAAACTCCTTAAGCTGATAATCAACTTCAGCAAAGTCTCAGAATACCAAATCAATGTGCAAAAATCACAAGCATTCCTATACACCAATAATAGACAAACAGAGAGCCAAATCATGAGAAAATTCCCATTCACATTTGCTACAAAGAGAACAAAATACCTACGAATCCAACTTACAAGGGATGTGAAAGACCTGTTCAAGGAGAACTACAAACTACTGCTCCAGGAAATAAGGGAGGACACAATCAAATGGAGAAACATTCCATGCTCATGGATAGGAAGAATCAATATTGTGAAAATGGCCATACTACCTGAAGTAATTTACAGATTCAGTGCTATCCCCATCAAACTACCATTGACTTTCTTCACAGAATTAGAAAAAAACTACTTTAAA